TTTTAGTTTATTTTTGTTATTACTTCTCCTAATTATTATGTTTCATTTATCCTTATTTACCTTTATTAATTTAAGTACCATTGTTCAAATATTGATTATTAAGCATTAATAAATATTTCATTAGCTTTATTGGGAGGTTGGTTCAGAAATTAACTTTATATTACAAAGCTAAAATTTTGTATTATAATACATATTTCCTAAATAAAATATATCATATATAGCTGTATACATAACAAATATGATCTAGTCTAAATTTTTACAATTTCTGCTTTTAGTGAACAACATAATTCAGTTACTTGTATTATGTACGTGTGTGTGTGTGTGTGTGTGCGTGTGTTCAACTTCAAGGCAGGGAGCACAGAGCACAACATCATAATCTGTAATTTCTGATTTGCTTCTGTTTAAATGTTGCATCCACAAATCCAGCTGCTAAATATTTTCAGGGCAAGCATTCAAATATGTTAGACATATGTTTATTAACCAACTTAGTTGAAGAATTACTTATGGATTAATTTATGTATTAATGGTTATTGCTGCAATAAATTGCAGCAATTTAGAATGTGAAATTCATCGTATTTAGAATCCTAGTCATTGCTAGCTTTAAATTACAAAATATCGGGACAGCCAGCTATCTCAGTGAACTAAACTTCACGTGTCCTTCTTGACATTTTTCAAAAATTTACTTTGTAAGGTATATAAATGATATAGCTTATAATACAAACATAATGTCTATACATACAATTAAACAGCAAAACTTGCATAAAATAAGTTTAGGAAAAATAGAAATATGCTAATAGACAATTTTTTGTGTTTTAGATTAAAATTGCTGATTAGTTAAAGCTATAGAACCTCATTTCCAAGAAAAATGAACTTCTTGCACAAGTAATATGTATAAAATCATACCAAATACACAAAAATGAAATTGTCCAAAACTAATTATAAAGAAAAAATCATTAAAGTATATACATAGGAAAAGTATTAGCTATGGAAGAACAAAATTAAATATCATCTTATTTTGCATTAGGAAAAAAACAGCAAGTGGATAGGAAACTAGATTTATTTATATTAAGGACTGAAAATAAAAGATCTGTCCTCCTCGAATTTTATACTTAGCAAACATACTAAAAGAAAAATTAAAAGTAAAATATTTTTCAGCTATACAAGCTTGAAATATTCTAATACCTTCCGACATAGCAAATAGAAAATTACAAAGACCATAGTCTAGAAGGCAAGAGAAGTTGCTTTTTGGTAGAGAATAAAGAGCTCTGAAAATGATGGTTATGCAGGACTATGTAAAATATAATTACATTAGACAAACCCATTTAAAATGTCATTAAAGATTTCCAGAAAATAGTATCAATCTTATGTCAGGTTAGATACATATTTTCTCATCTGTGTGTGTGTGTGTGTGTGTGTGTGTGTATGTGTGTGTCTGTGACTGTAAAAGACAAAGAAGAAATAATATAAAGTCAACAGAAAATGGAAGTACACATATTAAAGTTTCTCAAACTAGGAGAAAACATCATACCATGTCTTAAAAGTAGATTGCAACTCAAAGAAACAGTATAAAGCATAACACTAAATTAGAATTAAACAACATTCAGAAAATTAAATAATAATTAATTCAAAATTAAATTAAATATTTCATAATAATATTCAAAATTAAAATTAAATTGTGAGTCCAACTAAGAGGCTAGAATGTAGTGTATAAATCTGTGATCAATTCAAAGTACTCACACAGTATTTGATTAGGTTAACATATTCAAAATTATCAACTAAGAAAAGTTTTCATGGTAGTAAAGAATTACTAACACATAACAGAAATACTGGAATGGCAAATATATGACCAGCACTTCTAACAGTTTGGGGATAGGATATTGCACAAAGTTCTAGTATGTCATAGACCTGGACAGTGTCCATGACACTTACTGGTAGCCAGGTGTCACTTGTGCCACTGAGCTACTGCTATTTGCTTGATATCCACCCTGTAGACCTGGATAGAATCATGACCCATAGGGTGCAGGAGAAGTCCATTTGTAGAGTATGCTGATGGAAATATTTTGCTGCTGTATACAAAAGAATAATTAACAAACTGTTGTATACCTCTTTTTCTCCTGTGTTTAATTGTTTGCCCTATTTGGTAGGTTCTTTCCATTTTAATTCATGGAGTTGTGGTCCTTTTGATCCCTCTCTAGAATATCTTGTAGGAGTCTGTGTAGGATTGGCTTTGTCGTCGTGAAATTCTTTAGTTGTTTGTTGTCATGGAAGTGTTTCACTTCCCCAATAAATTTGAAAGAGAATTTTTCAAGTTATAGCAATCTGGGTTGGAATTTGTTTTTTTTTTTGCAAGACTTGAAGTACTTTGCTCCAGTCTCTTCTTTTTTTTTTTTTTGTTAGTTTGTGAAGAGAAATCTGCCATTATTCTGATGGGTTTTCTTTTAAATGTGAAATCAATCACATGTCTTGTGACACATAATTTTTAATAATATTTATTGTGTGATTTATTTGCCTTTGTATTCTTTAGAATTTGCTTTTCTTGTCTTTGTATATACTTTTGGAATTTCAATTTCCATCACATGTTGCAATTTCATTATAATAAATACTAATGTGAATATGCATATATTTCATATTGAAATAACTTATAGAGTAGAATAAAATGTTCATTTTATTTACAACTGTTAATATGTGTCATTATTTTAATTGGTTGGAGAAAAAGGAAATATATAACCATCTTAAATAATGAAATAAAGTTGAAACTTTAATATGTTTATAATTTTATTTGTATTCACCAAATATTGCAAACCACATAAAAAGTCATTCACAGGCAGTTGTAAAGCAAATGGTAATGTATTCATAAATGACTTATTCTTCAGACCTAAATTGAACAGGGGTGAGTTGCATATACAGTGCACTGAATAAAAGAATTCAATCTCAGGTACTGCCCAATGTCCTCTTTATGTAACAGTCTGAAAATGCAAAACTGTAGAGACAGAGAATAGTTGAGTATCTGCAGGTGTTGGAGTTGGATGACAGTTTCACACAAAAGGATCTGCAGAGTAACTGGATGCCTGTAGTAGATAAATAAATGTGTACAGCTATCAAAATAAATACAACTACAGCATTTGACAAAATGTTTTACTAGAGTCTTATATGAAAAATTAGAAAAAATCCTGCTAAGATTATGTAAAAATGTATTTTATTCTAAGGTAATATCAGTATTATTCTCACTGCTTAAGCATAATATCAGCTAATTCTGATTTTATAAAGATATCAGTCATCACCACAAAAGCTTAGAATTGTGAATTTTAAAGCAATTTTATTAGATAAATAAACACATACAAAAGTAATTATACATGATTAAAATAAAGCAACTTAATCATTTAAAAAATTATATTTCAATGATATGGTTTTCTTTGTACAAAAATGTGTTTAAATCACACAACACATTGGACAATTTTGTACTTGTGATTTTTAATCCAGAAAACTAATATAAACAATGAAACCTTGTGCACTCATTAGGAAAATAACCCTCTGTTATAAAAAAAGAACATTTGTTATGAGCCCCTAAGTACGTATTATTTACTGTCATTTCCCCACAATATTTAGATGTAGCTGTGAACAATCTCTTCCAGCTGATGTTCTATACTGTAGGAAGAACTTTCTTGCTGTAGAAGGTATTATTTTAAAGTTTTTGATATTTTTGTATACTATAGAATAAGTCTCTGTCATGTCAGAAACTCAGATTAACCATGAAAAAAATAAAATCAAATACACAGGAATATCAATAGGTAATAAGTAAGACAGATTACCCAGTTACTTAAATGCTATATCTTATTTTAATCACAGCCAATTATAAATGACTACTCTTTTTCAAGAACTCATTTATTGAACAAAGATGTAAATGAAAAATGACATTAGAAAAACAAGGGAATATATTCCTAAAACAAACCTACATTTGAAGATTATGAATGAACATATACCACAAGAATTCTTCATTTCTACAACTATACAGGACTATATCTTAAGGAATATTCAATAAAACAGAATAACTGACATATGACCATCTTTTCCTGCCTTCACCATAAATCTTGTGTCTATTTTGTCTAATTTTTCCTTCATGAAATTATTTTTTTATAATACAATCAATATTATTATCACATAAAGTTAATCAAAGTTCATATTTATTATATGGTGGCCAACATTGTTATAAATTTCTATCCCTATTACAAACTGTTTGTTTTCCTCCTCAGTAGCCCATGTACCTAATGCAACATAAGCTCAAAGAAAAATGTCTAGGATGCTACTTAACAAGAACTCCATTTTCAGAATGATTTCATATATTGGATTTAAATTTAAAATTTGTTGTTGCACAGAATAATAAAATATGTCATATATTTCCACATATAAAAATCATATTCTTAATGAAGACAAATATTCTGAAATGTCTTAAATTTGAGAATGGGTTAATGGGATAAATAGCCTTGTGACTCAAAAATTTTATTTCTATTTTATATTGACATGACAATTAAATCATACATTAAAGCAACTATGTTCTGCATTTATGATGTAAATTCATACACTTAATGTTTCTTTATTCATATAAAAATTATAGAGTTCAATTTTTAGTAATGGTCTTAAGGGAATACTAACACATATCTTTCTTACCTCACTTTAAAATTTTGGAAAGTTATATGATTGTTTCAAAATTCATAAATTCTTGAACATTTAGGATTTCAAAAATGACATTCTGTTTATGAGTATATTAAAATAAATACTTAAAATGTACTTATTGAGTTGAAATATACTTTGATAGTGTTTATTTTGAACCTACATTATTATTTTTATTTATTTATTTTTGTATTTTAGGGAAGGGATGAGCCTACATTTTTTAAATTATCAAAGTTATACAGAATGCAAGAATATTAGATAACAAATATATAATATACAAGAATTTCTTTTGAATTAATCTTTCTAAAAATATGTATAGTGATATTGAAAGTTTAGTGGGGGGCTGAAGGCTCCACGTTTTTGGACCAGCACCTTAGCCATTGAAGCAAGAAAAAAGATGTCTGTCTCAGCTTTTTGTTTCCCAAAATTATGACACATGAATGCCCTGAAAGGAAAGCAAAAAGAATAACATGGCAAAATAAAAACATGAATGATTTATCCAGCAATTCAAAGCTCAAAATTTGTATGAAAAAAGAAAGTGAAGTAACGACGTGCAGGAGGAGGAAGGCAACTGTAATTTGCAAAGCTTTTATGTGGGCCGTGGTGCTGACATCTCTGGACTCGCGGACACTCTGCTGCATCCTCTTCAGATGTTTCCACAGGGAGAAGATGAGCAAGAGAAAAGTAGTCATGGACACAGTAATGGGTATGAATGCAAATATACTGCTTCTGAGTAAAATATTTTTAAACAATTGTGTGGAGTTAATCAAATTGAAAATGTCTGACATATTCCTTTCATATCCATTAATCCAAGTATCGAGATATGGGTTTGTCAGTATAATGTATAAAGGCAACAAGACCAATGACACTAAAAAGGTCAGTGAAACCACCTGTTTAACTCTCCATTTAAGAAAAAGAAATATAGATTTAGAAAAATTGGCTATCTTGAAAAAATAAAATATGTTGAGACATGTCGTGAGCCAGATGTTAAAATGACTAGAAACTGTCCAGCTAAAACCAACCATTTTTGCCGTTGTTTCAGGCAACAAGCCTGGGTAAAAAATCGATAATATGTATATGGCTACTGACCAGAGCAGACAAATTCTGGAAATTGCCAAAGTAGTGAGGATTTGATCAAACAGAGTGATCTTTCTTCTCTTGATCCAGACCATGAAGTTCACCACTGTTATGAAGCCGTTTCCTAAATTTCCAGTTATGAACTCAACATATAAAATGACTATACACATGATCTGCACGAACTTACTCATTGTCTGTGAGGATGCCTTGATTTCAATTGTCACTGCTGAACTTTAATGCATACATTTAAAATGAGAAGTACACTTGATTAAAGATTCAAAAATATTTTCACTTTAAAAAATCATTTGTGTACTTCCAAAACAGGAAACTAAGATTTCTTGAAGACTTGATTCATAGTTTTTCTTCCTGAAAACTTTGAATTATTCTTGACGTTCCAGTTCAAATTCAGGCAGACATCATGAGCATTATGCATAAGAGCCTAAAATCTTTTGCTGTTGATGTTGAAAGGAAACATCCATTCTTATTCACTGAGAAGAAAACAAGGATATATTTAATTGGATAATTTTGATATGTTTGCTTCACCTATACAGTTTATTCTGGCAAAATGAGTTTTGGCTAAGTAATATTACAAAATTTTAGCACATGTAGCAGGAAACAATATGAACAGGGATATGGAATTTTCTAGGCCATGAAGATTTAAATAAATTTCAAATTTAGGTGTAATCAGAGATCCACTGAGACAGTCTACAAAGCTCTTCCTACAAGCTCTCAGAGTTGTTTAATAATTTCTTGTGGTCATTACTCCTTCAATGTTGGATACAGGTAATAAACCTTAGTGTTCTCTCTCTCTCTCTCTCTCTCTCTCTCTCTCTCTCTCTCTCTCTCTCTCTCTCTCTTTCTCACCTTTCCTTTCCACTTACTGGAATCTGTTCTTCCCCTTTCTACTTTAATAATTCAATATATTCACTGGATAAACTGTAAACATGAACTCATCTCATGTTTAGTATCATAATTGTCCAGGCATTGTTTTAAAAACACTTTGTATCTCCAATAACATAACGCTAAACATAAACATTCCATAAAATTTTAAAATAATTGTCTGTGCATATGAATGAGCTAGAAATCTATCTGCTATTTCATAAAGAATTAATAGAAGTGAATGTGTTCATACACACAGAAAAAGAAATCTCCCACATTTTGTGCCTCTCCCAACTTCTAGCACGCTTTCCTTCATAAGCACTGAAGACCTTCGGGTTTTACCTACCTGCCAATCACTTTTCACAGCTTTCATGTGCTTGGTTATCACCCCAAGAATGAAAAGATACATGAAGGATGATATGCTTCTTAGTAAAAATGTGGAATAGACTACACGACAAAATCATTCTATGCCAACTTGCTAATTGTTAAAGAATAGGCATATGAACACACAGGGAATATTGATAATGCTGCCCGAGACACTACAAAAATGTACAATAAATTTCAGACCTAGCACAAAAAAATACATGTTTAATTTAGAAGCTCTAATACATCCCCAAACACAGAAGCAATACTAAGCAAAGAATGTGAATCCAATGCATGCACAAAAATCTTTCAATTGGAGGAGGGAAAAAGAAAAATAGGGCAATCTCAGCAAAATTCAGGAAATTCCTATCTATTGAAGCAAGCATACCATAATGTAGAAGCAGGCAGGTCACTCTTGCTTGACTCCTTGTAACACAGATGAGCTCATGAAGGAAAGCAAAAAGGAATGCAAATCACTGTGGGGTAGGGCAGCGTGGGGTGGGACTATTACTATAGCATTAGGGGATTCTACAAAGGAAACCGAACTTAGGTCCCTAGCAGTAGTTATTCTTAACCTGAGGAAATCGCCCTCGGGCACGATACTGCACAGGTCTCACTGGACATTTTAGATTTCCTCTCAAACAGCACATGAGGAAAGATTTATGTATGTTAAAAGAATTCCTCCAACTGGGAGTGGTGGTGTATTCCTGTAATTAGAGCACTGGGGAGGCTGAAAAACAGGAGGATCACTATGAGTCCGATCTAGTAGTGAGACCCTGTAGACCCTGCACTAAATACAAAAAGAAAGAACAAACTTTTAGTTGCAATTTGTAAGGTATGGAGGAGCACAACGCAATGATTCACAACCTAGCATGACTAAAGTCCTAGGTTTGATCACAGAGATCCCAGACAAAAACAGAACAAAGCCCCAACAAGAGTAAAATCTTTTATTTTAAAGGAGAAGATATGGAACAGGGAACACATTGCTTCAAGTAAAAAACAAACATTAATTTATTTTGCAGCATTCTAAATCTTTTTGCTTAAGATTCTTTGAAGTATCCTATTGATATAACCAATAGAAACCTCCGTATTGGCAGATAATGTGTTTAATAGCAGCTAAACACAGTAGCATGTGTCTTTTAGTGAGTATTAATGCCCTATAACTCAACGATACCAGCACATTGTTAATTAGTTCATAACAAAATCTTTATTGAATATAAATAATATTTAAACCTTTTCTAACTATAAAATGCAAGATAAATTTAAATAATTATAAAATCACTATGGTTTGAAATTAATAACGTGTTTTGTTAGTACTGTATTTGTAAGTAATATTATGTACTTCATTAAACTTAGCCTAACTTGTGAAATGAGCAAGTAAATACTTGTGTATTAAAAGGCAGAGGGAGTACAAGCAAGCTGGTTACAGAGAGAAACGAAGTATGTATTTCACTTTTGCTACATTAACTGCTCCACTGGAGCAAACTAATTAATTTTTCTTCATTGTGCTGTAATCAGCAAGCTTAATCTAGGGAAAAGAAGAATGTAATTGTTATTGTAAATATTAAAGGTCTTACTACCTGTCATGCAGTTGCAGTAAGTAAAGAAATCCCAATCACTAACAAAATTAAGTAAAATTAAAATAAAAGAATTCCTTCAGTGATAATTGTCTTAACCCTTCACTTAGAAGGCAGAATAAAAAGTTAATTCCTGAAATACAGGCAGTATCTTAACCTGGTTCTGAATTAATTTTTACATTTAGCCATATTTATATATGAGGTTAGTGTATTTAACTTAAACTTTCTCATTTGCAACAAGATTTGTACTTTGACTATACCAAATGTAAATAATCTAAATTAGTTCAAACATATTCCATCTGTATGCCTCTGTGCTTAGGTCAGTATATACAATAATAATCAGGTAGCTACATAGAGTCACATATCTGTTATTGTTTTAAATAAAAGTAAATTATGTTTTAAGATTTTGTATCATTTTAAGCAAAACTTGTATTGAAGCTCTTCCTTCATTTTTAGTAATGTAACTTTCAAATTTGAAGAAAATAATGTTTCC